CGATTCTTGTGTCGGTTTTGATAATAGCGGATCATAATAATCATAAAGTGTAATCTTGTCGGTGCCGCACCTGTTTATTGACTTTATCAGGCCAGATAGTGGACGTTACTGCTGCGACGTCTCGCGTTCCTCGTAATTAGACCCGCCATATAACGGGTGGCGTCTCTTAAGTTTTACTTGCGAGTCAGCAGTGCTTTAAATCCTGCAGAGAAGATGATCCTTTCGCTCCATTTTCTTAGGTAGCCCGATCTCTTGTGTCTTTTTGTCCGCTGAAAGGATACTTCTTCGGCTCGAACGACTCCGGTTGGTTACCCACACGTTAGAAATTCTTTAAGATGGGACTTAAGGACCCTCTTGAATTCTTCCTGACCACTCCGGATGGGTAGTGGACCTTGAATGCTATTTCTGGTAGCCCTTAGAAGCCTTCCCCGACCAGGCCTTAGTTTTAATGCCCTTAGGGAAGGTTCGGTCGGCTTGAAAATCCTTCATCGATCTCTGCATCCTCTTTCAGGACTCTTTAGAGACCCATTACAATCCTCTAACATTTCAAACGCTTCATCTTACCACTCGAACCTCTTTCTAACCCATTGCAAAGTGTTTTTGGCCTTCTTAAAATCTAGAATTTGGTAGATCCAGCGTAAAGAACCTTTCCGAAGCAGTAAAATTGCTTTGGCGCGTAACGTGATCACGTTATTGCTACCAACGACGGCAAAAAGCGATGAAATATGTGGCAATTCGAGTGTAATTGAATGTCAAGTCTGTCTCGACATAGAATCACGATGGATTAACGTGTTTTTATAGATAGAAATGACTTGACCGAGGTTCCTAATGATCCTCTGGCGGCGAACGCGCGAGTTAGGATTTTGGCTTTCTTAAAATCTAGAATTTGGTAGCTCCAGCGTGAAGAACCTTTCCGAAGCAGTAAAATTGCTTTGGCACGTAACGTGATCACGTTATTGCTACCAGCGACAGCAAAAAAGCGATGAAATACGTGGCAGTTCGAGTGTAATTGAATGTCAAGTCTGTCTCGACATAGAATCACGATGGATTAACGTGTTTTTATAGATAGAAATGACTTGACCGAGGTTCCTAATGATCCTCTGGCGGCGAACGCGCGAGTTAGCGGCGCAATCTCAGGGATCCCAGCCGTTTCCAGAGACCTTACCGATCTCTGCTCCTGGAAAGAGCGTTCCATACGTTTCCACGTTCACCTTGCGATCGTAATTTCCGCGAAAAGACCAAACCTGTACGTGCCTGCGGCCGTCACGCTCGAAGAATCCCAGGTACACGAACGCACGGCGCACACTGGCGCACGCGTGCCGTGCACAATCGCGTTACGTGGTTTCCAGCGGCTTAGAAACGGCCGGCCCCGTGAGTTCGCTTAAGTACCCTAATCAAATCTACGATGTTACCTGCTTGTCATTGCCCTCTCGGTTCACGAGCGCGCGCGCGCGCGCCTATTGGCACGCTTTTCGACGCGAACGAGATCTAACCGGCCGAGCTGATCCTCTTCCACTGGCGCAGGAACTTTATCTGCGTGAAATTTATGCGTGATTCCCTTCGGATAGCTTTTAATATTCAATTTCAATTCATCTCGGCCGCGGGAGCGTGGATTTTAATTACGCGGTTGCCTTGTTTCCCTGTGTTAACACGATTTCATTGCGAGCTTCGCTTTAATCCTTCCATTGGCGTAGGAGTTTCCTATATTCCGGATTCGTCGAGTGAAGTCTTTCCGATTTCTTCGGGATTCCATTGCGTCGTTGCTCACGTTTCTTTGGTTTCACTATGGAAATATGATTGTTTGGTTGTTTTCGCAAATAGAGGAGACATTCGCGTAATTGGAATTAATTGCGCGGGTCGGTAAATATTCAGAACGCACGGAAACTATGCAGCCGCGGCGATCGTTATGCTAATGCCGGCGGTATCTTGAAATTCGATGACCATGGGAGGCAGTCTATCGTATCGGATACGTTTGTCGACGATTAATGCACGCTCGCCGGCCGATAATGTTGAATTATTTAAGCGTGCCGCGGCCGAGCCGCGGCAGACACTCGGTTTACATTCGCCGCCAAACTAATAGCGAACGATTATGCGGGACGCGCCATTTAAATTGCATATCACCGTGGACAGGTTTTAGGCGTGCGCGACAATCTACCGAAACTTTTCACTCGGAACAATTGTATGCAGATTACAGGCGAGAAGAACTTGACCGACCAACTTTTCCCTCCCTCGAGATTGCATTATTTATAGTGTTGCCCGTTAAAAATCCGTTTCCTCTCCGTATTTCTTGAATATTCCTTACCGAAAGAAGTTGATGAACGGTTATTCAGGACCGGCCGCTTCGACGCCTTCAGCCTGTACCGTTTAATCAAGCAAATAATGGTCGATGAAAAAAATTAATATTTGATCAAGATTTATTTTTCCACTTCTTTTTTCTCTCTCTCTCTGTGCCTCTGGTTCTCGTCGCACGATGAAAAAGTTGATGAACGACGGTTCAAAGTCAGCTTACTCGATGCTTCGATCTTGTACCGTTTAATCAAGTGGAAGTAGTTGACAAAAAATGTCTGTTTAATGAATATTTACCTGACAATATTTTCTCTTCTTTTTGAGAAGTCGGAATTTATGCTCCGCGCGGAGCCGCGTCGCGGTCCTCGGTTTTTTGATCGAGGTTGACTCGGGGCTTCATTAAGACCGTGAAAAAAAGGAACTCGTTTGGAAGTGTTAAGTCGCACGGATGTACGATTCGCGAAACACGTTTGTAAAATCAGCCTTGGAACGGTAACAAGCTCGGCCGTGTTCCGGCGCGGATATTCCGCAAGTGTGAAACGTGAGCCGAATTGATCGTGTGTTATCAATTAAAGGAGCCCTCGCGAATTCCTTTTCGTGTCTCATAACTGGGCAGCAGGTTCTTATGCATTCATGAGGAATTTTAAAGAGCAGAGTTGCATAGAATGCACAATGCCAGAAGACACAGAAAATATCTGATGTGTGCTGCTGTTTATCATTCATGTCAGGAATAACTATTTTTCATTATGTTCTAATTACATTTTGAAAAGTGTGAATTTCTTGGAGTCAGGAAACTATTCACAAACGTTGGATATTCCATTCGAACTGTATCTCCTCACAAGTCCTCTTACTGCCCTCGTAATCGAAGAATTTATCAGTAACCCTACTAATCTTCTCAGATATGTTTATAATTCATGTCAGGCTATTTTTCATTATGTTCGAATTACATTCTGAAAAGTGTGAATCTTTCGGAGTCAGAAAACTATTCACAGATGTTGAATATTCCGTTCGAACCGTATCTGCTTACAGGTCTTCTTACTGCCCTCGTAATCGAAGAATTTATCAGTAACCCTACTAATCTTCTCAGATATTATTGTATTCCCATTGTGCAAGGGACCGAGGAATGTGAACGCGCAGGCAGCGCTATCGAGAGCACTCGATCACGAGCGACCTCTTTGTCGCGAGCAACGTTTCCCTATTCCTAGGGCTCAAACGCAGCATTTTCCAGATAGCGTATCGCGACGTCGAGATTGCGGAAGCTCGAAATAGTCCCGATAATTTAATATCGTGCTGCATGCTTCCTTTCTCTTTCATCTAGCCCGTTGTTCTTCTACTCGTAAACTTTTCCCATTAATACAGAACAAATTACATCCCGGTAAATTGCATTCCCCGCCGGAGATTGTTATTCAATCCCCGTCCAGATAAACTCTCGATAACGTCTCCTTTACTTTAATCCGAGTCCCACGATAATTCTTTCGTATCTCACGATAAATTCGTAACGGGAGATTCTCCTCGATGACCCACCGGATTTAATTAAAAACGTCGCGCTCGAAAAAAAAAGAGAAACAGCTCGAGCAAATCGTAAAAGACGAGAATCCGCGCGATCGGAGCCGCGTTTTTCGGCTCCGGCGAGGATTAACGAGCGAAATTGACGGAAAGAAGGGTCCTGGTGTGCGTCGCGACACCTTGTAAAGCGGCGTTCAACATTTCCGAGCGGGTAACCCGGCGTGGCATTAATTAAAAATCCTGATTCGTCGCGGAGATTGTATTTGGCTTGTAATTTTCACCGTCTACGCTGACGAAATGAAATCGTCAGCCGTCCTACGGCGATAAAACACGCGTGTAGCGTAAGTAAGAAGCAAGTGCCGGTGCTTTTGCTCCGCGATGACTCGGTGGGATCATTGTCCACGGTTTACTGTCGCGATTGGCGGACGTATTGGACTTCCGTAAAATTTTTTCCAGCCGTATAAGGGCAGACCGACAGCCGGATCAACGTGGACGTGGACGTGAGTCGCTTGTTCCGTCGTGACGGCGGGAAATATCGATGATTTGCGGAACCGAGTAAATCATTCTTCCGCTGAAACAGCATCTTTCTTCTGACGGCTGCGAAATTACTTCACTTAGTGGTTCTCAACTTGATTTGGAGTTTTACTGTGAAATTGATTTTTAGATTCACTGGATCATTGGTCTTTTGTTCAAATGATTAGGGTATATCTACTTATATCTATAGACCAAGTTGAATATAGTAATCTAGTACATCAGTATCTAGCTACAAAGTATACACGAGAGATTTATTAAACAAAATTTGAAAAATTGTGAATATTGAAATTATTACAGAACCATCTGTGATTGAAGTCAGTTAACACTAGAACTACCGAGCATTTAATACGATTAATATGCAATTCCCATAGAAATTGTAACAATAGATTATTTTCAGTTTCTTCAGACATTCATTATAGTACTCAAATGAAGCTATTTATTTTTAAGATCATTTCGAATATTCAATGCTTCGAAGATATCAATAATTGCTAAACGAAAAAATCGAAACCAGTCATTTTAACTGGTACAGTAGTTCTAGTGTTAAGAACCAGTGACGACAAATGTGTCACCGTTTATATTCGGTCCCCCTACTTCCGTTTCCGTCGAGGATGTTTATGTGTCGCCGGATTTAGTTGAGATTTGTTTCTAATTTAAGGGAAATGTTTGACTTTCAGGGGCGCAGTATGTGCCCGGCGCTGGGCTTGGCGCCGCACCCCAAAACAGGACCTTTAACCTCGAGTACATACCGAACTATCCGCCGTCGAGAGCCGACCGATACAGGGGTGGTCCTGACATACAAAAGAGAATGACTCAGAGAGAGGACGTGCTGAAGTTCGAGCAGGGCCGCATTAAGGCCCTGCAGGAGGAACGTCTGCATATTCAGAAGAAGACGTTCACCAAATGGATCAACTCCTTCCTGTTGAAGGTAACGGTTCATTTCGGAAGTTGACTAATGTACACATGACGAGTTCCAGTGAACACTTGATAAATCTTGACAAATCCTAGTGAATTTCTTATGAACACTAGTGAGTGTCTGATAAATCTTAGTGGATCCTTGATAAGTTCTAGCAACTCTTGAATCAATTCTAGTGAATTTTCAAAATCATTTCGAATATTCAATCCTTCGAAGATATCAATAATTGCTAAACAAAAAAATCGAAACCAGTCATTTTGACTGGCAGTTCTAGTGTTAACCCTTTGCACTCGGAAGTTCTTCACTAGAAATATTTTAACATTTCCTGATGAGATAAAATCGATATTTCGTGAAACTAAGTCGATGAGAAATCACGCGTACATCGAGGAACAAAGCTATTTTATTTGAATATTTCTCAAAATGATGCGTTATAGGAAATGTAATATTAAATATCAAATTTTATAGTTTTACTGTATGAAATCAAGTGGTGAGTCACCTCTCGAGTGCAAGGGGTTAAATCTTTGATTAATTCTTCTAAATTCTTCATAAGTCCTTTCAATCGATATGTCCTCTAAATTCTAATAAATTCCTGATTCATTCGGTTCTCAGGCACGCATGGAAGTGGACGACTTGTTCACGGACCTGGCGGACGGCAAGAAGCTACTGAAACTACTGGAGATCATTTCGGGAGAACGATTGGCCAAACCGAACAACGGTCGCATGCGTGTGCACAAAATCGAGAATGTGAACAAGTCGCTGGCGTTTCTTCACACGAAGGTAGGATTCACTTGAAAAAACTTCTTCGGAACTGATTCAGATTCTAAAACGAGAAAGTTCTAGAGCCTAAGAAACTGATTAAGACACCCTCGATCGTGAGTAATCAACGATCGCCGTAGATCACTAGTTAGCGAACTTAATAATTTCGAAAGTCATGAGCCAGCGACAACAACATTGCATCAGCAGGGGATAATGAAGCCAGCAAGATTAAATCTCTTCATTCAAAGGATTCTTAAAGTTCCTCGCTCGCTTCGGCTTCATTCATTATGTCGATAGGTCTAATTGTTCGCTGAGGACAGGCTGGAAGATAATTCTCACGCTTTCACGATTGTCCCAGCTCCACTCTCAGCTGACGTTATATAAGGGACACGGGTTGCATAAGAGAAAACTGAAATTTTCTCCGGTCCGCGGACTTTTCCGCGAACATTAATAAACGACTATTAGCCAGCGATCGATCGTCTGGTTCGTCAACCATGGCTGCACCTCGATTTCAATTAGTTTCGCGTACAGTGTGTCCCAAAGATCACCTCCACATCGAAAATCTATGGCACTTCCGAATGCAAATGTTGCTATATTAAAAAACAAAACAGTATGATTGAAAAATATTTTCTTTCTCGGTTGCTAGACATTTTCCCGCGACGAACGGTTAAATATTCCGCTTGTGCAATAATTCCTCCGTTCTTCCGTGCGTGTTCTCTCGAGCTGCGTGCGCCGTACAGTTTCGAGACGTCCTACGTGGACGCGGAACTCCCCACGAAGACCCGCAAGTGCAAACTCCCCGTGAATGGCCTCTATGCCTCGTAGCTTATGACATAATAGTTTTATGCACGGTGCATACGCTCGCTATAACACGTTTATGCACCGGCCGGGCCCAGAAACCGGACAGGGAACGCATTACCGGGCCGAAAGTAACCGGTAACGTCGATAATTCACGTCTATCTTCGCTCGTAACTCGATATCCGACTCGACGACCCGTATCGTAACTCACATCGAACGATTCTTCGAGGGAAAAGGTACGAAACTTCGAATACAACATTTTCCCCCGCGACGCTCCGTTCGCGAGGAAATCATCTTCGAAAGGACGAAAGTCGCTCGTGCGCGCGCTTTCGCACCGTTCGCTTCGAGCTTGATTTATTCGATGACGAACGCCGACAGGGAAAAATCGCACCGCCGACAGAAAAATCGGCATTTTTCGTTGATTTCTTTCGTGTTCTGCCAGACGGTGTGAAATGTTGAACCAATCGCGCAGGAACTCCGGTGGAATGAAAGGCGAGACGGCGGAACGTTGACCAGTCGTCCGACTCGTTTGTCTCTGTTCCCCGTTCGATTTGATCGAGAAAGAGAGACAGGCTCGTCATCGGATTCTCCTGTTACCGGAAGCGACGTAGACCCGTGTCCCACGTCTCGTTCCCTGTCTCACGGTCTCACGTGTTCCAGATCGGAGCACGTTCCGACGTTAAGTTACTCGATTTTCCCATTGCATCGACCTTAAGCGGAATTCTCGGGAATTCTTGGAAACGTTGAGTCGTTCTCGTGTGTCTTTTACGCGGCGATCCGAGATCTACAGTTCTCTTATAAAACGGTGGACGTGTATGTTCGCCATTACAAATCGATTCGGGAACATTCAGTTGTTATTCCGTTTAACACTAGAATTACCAATCAAATTGACTGGTTTTGATTCTTTCGTTTAGCAATTATTTGTATCTCCGAAGCATCGAATATTCGAAATGATCGTGAAAATAAATGAATGTCTGAAGAAACTGAGAATAATCTATTGTTACAATTTTTATAGAAATTGCATGTTAATCGTATTAAATGCTCGGTAGTTCTAGTGTTAAAGGCAAATGGAGACTCACTCTCGGAAGAAGGGTAGCCATTTTGTCGCATCATAGAATCTCCACTCTCCGTAAGTCTTGCGAAGAAATTCTACGTTATATTTGATTAAATATCCTCTATATATATATTATAATTTCACATACTTACGTAACCGCATATGTAAATTAACGAATAGGTAAATTCTAAATGAACTAATAGTCTCCGATAGATCAAATTGGCACAGCTCTCGTGAAATTCAGTACTCCGTTACTGTTTCCTGGATTTCCGTATCTACCACTATTCTCTTGAAAGAACACTAGAAGAGCGATATTCCTCGAACGCGTTAGAAAACCGGCGACGAAATCGGCGAGCGCCGTTTCCGTGCCAAGAGAAAAGCAAATAAAAGAGCCGGCTGGAACGTTTTGAGCATCGCTTTCGAGTACTTTCGCGGTTTTCCCCGGCTTTCTAAGCGGCGGCCGCGCGAAAAGTCGCCGATACGCACGCGGAATGCCCGCGGCCGGCCAGGAATCACCTTCCAGAAATAGCCGTGTGTCCTTTCGAGCACCGGGCCTGCGAACGCGTGGACAAACGTGACGGACACAATAACACCGATCGATGATCGATTCCATCGGTGGATTCGGACGCGGGATTGGGCGTGGCTGTTGCCACGAGTGCTGGCTCTCAGCGCTATTACCTCTTCAGTTTTAAGCTGGCTCTCGAGAGCAACGATTCCTCTTCGGTACCCGATGAAGCCGTTATTTCAGTTTGAAGCCACTAATTTTTCGGTGAAAGATCTCGCTCAGCACCGGGGGAATTACAGAGCGGCGAGTCGTCCGATTCGCGTGAAATTTGAAATATGAAATTCGCAATTAATCATTTGAAACTCATTTGAAATTTTCAGCTTGACAGTTAACTCTTTGCACTCGAGAGGTGACTCTCAGGCACCTGATTTGATGAAGTAAAATTATAAAATTTGGTATTTAATATTGGACCGTGTATAATCGGCGCGTGAAATATTGGGATAAAGAAGCTTTGTTTCTCAATTTACTTGTGACTTCTCTTTGAGTTAATTTCAAAAAATATTATCTTCGTCGAAATTTGGAATTCGGAATTTGAAATATGGTTACGAGCACTCGACATCATTTATAAAGTTTTAATTAGGTGTATCGTATATCACGATCCTTAAACTGTTCAATTAAACAGCGTTGACGTTTTTGCGGGAAAAGAGGATAATCCATAACGGTTTAACACGATCCACGGGGGCAATGCAGAGGTCGGCAATTATTCAGACATAGGAAACATCGAGGAGTAATGTGAATTTAATGATACAACGTTCGAATGACATTAGGAAAACGACATTCCAGCGGAAAAACATCTATAATCGTCGATGATCGTGACTAATCGATCGGATACCGATGGAGTGCGTGGAAAGTTATTCACGGAAAGGACACGTCCCGCGTGTCTTGTATCGCTACCTAGCCGCGTTACGTGATCCGCGACAGGGTTACGTAAAACATCTCGCTAATCGCGCGGAAAAAGTGTAAAATACGCGGACGCGAGCTTGGGGAGCAATTAAATTTACCCCGGCACCGGCAGACCCGTGCGCACTTTCGATAGTCGATACAATTACGCCGCTGCAACGCGGAATTATGAAACTACGAAACGCAAACAAGCCACCGCACGGATAAGCCCGTGACAAATTGGACGTCGCAGGGTTAATATTTCATTCTTTCGTTCCGTGAAACCAGAGTTTTTCTCCAATTTCCCCTTACAAGACGCCATATTACTTTTTACCTGACCGATTAATCTTCTACGCCAATTACCAATCAGTCGTCTACAAAAATACGTATAAATCCCGTTTAATTAAATTGAATGCCATAGAGGTCACCGGTGACCAAATCGAATTACTATAGTTCACTCAATTAAACCATTATTTGAAAACATTTCTATATTATGAATAATGCTAACTAATGTGGTGATATTCAGCTAGATGAACCTACAGTAATAACAATGCAATTCAATCGAATGATTTGATACCATATTTTCTCCATTTTCTGTACTTTGCTCTATGAAATCGTGGTGTTCAATCAAATCGAATTACTATAGTTCACTCAATTAAACGATGATTATTTGAAAATATATCTATATTACAAATAATGGTTACTGATGTGGTGACGTTCAGCTAGATGAACCTGCAATAATAACAGTGCAATTCAATCGAATGATTTAATATTCCATTTTTTCCATTTTGTGTATTTTGCTCTATGAAATCGTGCGGCATTCAACGTGTTAATAACTCGCAGCGAAATGCTTCGTAAAAAGGAAGATATTCGCGTCGAATACGTAACAATTAGAACTCTGTATCGCGACGATAAAGATAAACAGATGAGAGCTAAACAGATGAAACTTGCGAAAGCTTAGAACGTTTTCTCGTGAACACTAGAGCGACGAATTTCATTCTTCCTTTCTCTGTTCTTTTTTCGTTAACTGTCGAGTGAAAGAAAATTTTCCAATTTGCGATCCGGCCGTAAATTTCCGCAAACGGCAATAAAGTAGAGCAGGCCGGGACTGTAAACAATAAGTGGCGTGGAACGGCGGAACAGCGATAACTAAAAGAGAAGCTCGGCGACGAAAATGGACACACCGTTGGCTCCGTTAGAAAGAGGTTGGGGCCGCGTCCTTTGGTTTTACGATCGTTTCGCGATGCTGATGGCCCCGATGGCCGTTTCGCGATTCCTACGGGGGAACTCCCGCTGCTCGGTGCCACGGGAATCGTAAAATCGAGGAAACTTAGTTGTGGAGGGAGGCTGTGTTCCGTACGGGACGTTCCAGAAGCGGGGACTGGTGTTAATCGACGGACAAAACGGCCGTAAAATGGACAAAAGTGTCTTCATATTTCTGCGGCCTATTCTAGCGGACATTTAATTTATTACAGTTACCTTTTATTGTGCCTTATAGCGTGCGTTTAATCGAATGTTCGGTTAATTACGAACGATGCGAGAAAATCGCCGTAAAACCGGCAAAAATGTCTGTTTATTGGGGTCGTAAATTTTTGTAAACGTCCGTCGGGTTCAACGTATCCTCCTTTTTGAATGATGTAATTGGTCTCCTCGAAAGCCTGGTTAATTATGGATGAAAGGGTGGGTCGATTCAAGGCGCGATCGTTTCGAAATGTTCGCGTAACC